CTCCTCCCTCCTCCCTCCTCCCTCCTCCCTCCTCCCTCCTCCCTCCTGTTTTCTTCCTCATGTTGTTGATGACGGTTTCTTCTATCTGTTGTGCTTGTTTTTGGCCCTGACATGGTATGATATGTCAAGGGTTTCTTCTATCTGATTCCTTGCGCATTTCTATGATTTTTAAATGATCTTCTATCTGAAAAAATATTTGATTTCTTCTATAATAGGGCACCGCACTATATCAAGCCTTTTGCCAAGCAACTGCTTGTTAACTTCATCTGCTCGCTGAGCACTACATCCGCGCACATTCTTCCTGAACATGTGCGGTGCAAGTCTTCATATCAGGCTTATACAGGGATAGACTCAAATACTCTTTCTTCCTACAATACTCTCCCAACACACGCATACAGTCCACATCTTATCATAGCGAGCTCGACCTTGCTAGATTCCTAGATTGATCGGCGCACTGTCGTGTTCAGTGCATGTGGTCTCGCGTGCAATTCTGACTGCGAGTTGTTCTCTGTCAAAAGAATACAGGCATAGATTCATAGATCGACACGGATGCCTTGGGACAAAGTCACATGATGGAATAAGAAACAACCAAAAGTGTCCGGAATACAACTGGTCATGAAATTGGTCATCACAAATCAAGACCCTAGCCTCCTAGCTTGATTGTTTCGCGTTTGACCCTCAGCCAGCTGGCAGTTGTTTTTCGTTGCAATCGGATCGATTTGTTGTGTGTGTGCGTGACCCTCCGATTCAATGTCAAGGCATTTGAAGGGTCCGCCAACGCAAACACCAGGCATCTACCCCGTCAACACAAAGTTGCTTGCTTTGTCTGCGTTAATACTGTAGATGTTTTGTTGAAATGCCTACCTGCTCTTGGTTTGCACACCTGGGGGGTAAACACATCACAAATGTTCCATCTTCGATACAGCGTGTTCGTAACATCGGCATCGGCTGGTCACACGTTCTGCAAAGGTCCTAGTAGATTCCTTTGCTAGTAATTGCAATTCTAATTAAAGTCTTATTGTTGCTAGTAGTAAGGCACTTGTTTCTGATTGCTTCTTGTTACTACTAGTAAGGCACTTGTTACTAGTAGCGATGCACTTGTTACTCTAGTAGCTTCTTGTTTCTAACTATATCTGCCTGCTAGGATTTGCTCAGGCAAAGTACCAGGTCACAGTCTGGCGCACTATCAATCTGCAATTGGGCGACTGGTATGGCGACTGTACATTCAAGTACAATCCATATGATTCAAAGAGTCTTTTGGTGCTTGGACGCACAGGCCAGCCCTCGAACAAAAAGCTTTGTCACCCCCCATCTCTAACTCGTCCCACTGCTTTGCATCTTGGGTTCGCTTGCGGCTGCTCAGGGCATTTCGGATTCTTCCTTGGCATGAGTCAGGCACCAGCCGACAGTTGAATGCAAAACGATCGATATAGTCGATCATGTGGAAAACCTCTAGCCCCGCAGGAAAGGAAAGAGAACCTCGCCTAGGTATCCAAAGCTTCCAAAAATAAGCGCGGAAAAGCGTTTCAAAAAAGTCAACATGTCAAAAGCATAAAATATGTTGTGACATGTACTTCTGTCATCTTCAGTCAGGAAGCTCGATGTCAAAGGTGACCTCGTCTCCAACTGCTGGTTGTCCGCCAATGCAATACTTGACGTGAACAAAGACCTTGTTTCCAGCTGCACCAAAGGGAATCCACATTGAGCAGAATACCACAAGGCACACAGGCTTGAAATCTCTTCTCCAGCATTGCGTTTCAGCAAGTGGTGTTTTGCTGCTGAGGCACGTCAACCCCACAGCAGTCAATGAAGCCCCAGCCCTGAAAAAACAAAAAACATGTTCAGGGCATGAGAGTGAAATTGTCTGAAGATTGAATCACATTGAATCTAAGCTGGAACTATTCTGGCCTTCGCAGGGTTGAAGGACTTAACAGTTCCTGTGCAGCGTGCCGTTTCGATTTGTCTGTCGTAGCTGTCTCTTTGCAACATTCTGCGCTCGTGCCTGTGGATGGCATCTTGGTTGGAGTCTTGCGCGTGAACGGTCTGAATAGTCTCCAAGCTATCCTCTTGTTGACTCTTGCACTAGAAGCTCTTGCAGTAATGAGATCTGCTTTGGGGGGTGCTACCCCATCTGAAGCTCAGGTCCTCTTGATGAGGCTGTGCGCATCTTGCTACCTGTGCTCTAAATCGTGTCTGTAAAAATGTGCCTTCTTATACTTTACTAACATCGCAGAGCCAATGTTGCACGGAGCAAGAAAGCTACTGCAGCCAGGATGCCAAAAGGTGCTTTCACAAATGCTCAACCAGAGCTGTTCACAACTCTGTGTGTTCTACAGTTGTCTGCAGATTCGTTGTTGACAGTCGCTATTTGTCGTGCAGTGTTTAGAAACTTTAGTCTGACTAACTGAAGGACATGCCGATGGTGAAACAAACTGTCGGTTCTACTCTACTTTCTCTGGATGCTTCCAAAGTCCACAGAAAGCCCCAAGAGCCTAGAGATCCACAAAGGTCTTTTTGTGCCAATGAAACAGGTTTCACGCTTGTGCGAGTCCTGTTGCTGCAATCACGTCCTTTGTGAGAACATGCCATCAATCAGGAGCTTCCATTAACTTGAACGAATTTGAGTACTGAGACTGCCAAATTGAATTGCTGAAAATGGCATCAAGGGAATTCAAAGGAGGTGAGGAACTAGGTGGTGAAACATCGAGGTTCATTGACCTTGATGAGGCTGGACTCATTGGACAAGGCAGGCATTGGACAAGGCAGGCAATGTCGGACTGAACTGCAAATCATTTGAATAAATGAACCGTCCAAGCCTGCTCAAACCCCGCGTATTGCAAAACGTGCAACTGCAGCACAAAGTGCAGCTGCTGACTGCAGCACCACTTTCTGAATCGTGAAGTGTCATGTTTTGCAGCATGTTGTCAAATCAGCCTAAGACGTTTGTCACTGAAAACGCAAAAATGATCTTGGAAAAAGAAGGGTGCTGCGAAGTGGCAAGTTTGGTGCCACCGCTGAGAAACACTGCGGATGTGATGCGGACTGACCCCACCAGCATCCAGAAAACCACCTGCTCTGGTCCTAGGTCTCTGCAAGCATAATAGCCACGTTCCACAACTGGACGAACGTCACAGACGAACTACTTGGTTCCACAGCCTACATGCTCACTTCAAGGGAAAAAACCGGCTAAAATGCTGACACTGGACATTGCCGTGACACTGGACTGGAAACGATTCCATCGTCTGACTTGGTGACCAAGAAAGAGGTGGATACAACTGATACAACATCCAATTTTACAATAGGTGATTGTCAAATCAGAAGGTGCCAGGTCAAATCAAAAGTCAGCCGTTTGGCCCATGCCTTTGCACGGTGAACTCAGACAAGATCCGAGTTGAAGCGATTGCGTGATACCTGGGGTGCAACAACCGTACAGCAAGCAGAATGAAGTATGCGAAAAGGTAGTAGTGGAACAGGTTCCTAGTAGCTTCTTGCTCCTAGTAGTATGGCCAGGAGCCCCTGGTAGCGTCCTTGCTCCTAGTAGCGATGCCAGGAGCCCCTAGTAGCTTCTTGTTACTAGTAGAATATTATTCTTTCCAAGGCTATCTGGCTGTCCCCTAGAAAGTTTTCGCCACACGGTCTCATCTGCTTGTCTCTCAAAGCAAATTGTTTGCCTTTTGTCCTTTATGGTTCAATTCTTATCACTGTCGGCCCACTACCAAGCATGTTTTGGTGACAAGTGCTGCAAGCAACTACCAATTAGGGAACCTCCAGCTGGTAGCAGCCTGGTCATCCTCCAAAACAACGCCGTTGCCGAAAATCCGGGCCGCCACTTACCAGGCCAGGCCCACACCGCGGTTCAGGAGCGTCTACGAGTCTACACGTCGTGAACTAGGAATCCGCTCAAACATGGGTTCTTCAGAAGCTCAGAGGCGACCTCTAAACGCAAACAGTCTACCTGATGCTCTTCGTCATTCAACAAAGGTTCCTGCTTCGCACTGAACACATAGGACGAAATCAATACTGCTACAGTGTTTGCAACTTGTGGAGCACCTGCAGTGCATCCCCAATCTCCATCTTGACACACTATTTGCGCTCGCAATGGCCCACCTGGCCCTCCGCGGAGGCAAGTCCACCATCTGGAACGTGGCCGTGGATATGCAGCTGGCCAAAGCCGATCTAGTCACTGGTGTTTTGGTGGGCACTTATACCCTGGCATGGCATTTGCTCGATACCGCAAAGGCTGCAGTTGCGCGTGCTCTCTAAACTGTAGCCTATGGAGACCTTGGGCCGCTCTGCCAAGAAAAGCAGGTGGCAAAGCCTGTGGTCGTGGCATCCAAGGATCGCACCGATGGCACGCCCACGCGCCGAATGTCAGTGTTACCACCGATTGCTGCAACTTGCACACCACCAACATGTGGGCAACGAACTTAAGGGCATGCAACACCAACTTTGCCCTGGTGCTGACATGGATTTTTGAGCCCCGGCAAAACCTCAGCCACTTCTGCCGCCTAAATGCTTGCGGAGTGCTGATGGCGCGCTCGTTTATTGAAAAAGAAAGTGAAATGAAAGCTAATTGGTTCAGAGGCCTATTCTTCAGTTCCAGCAAAGCCGGGCCAATTGCTTACGCACTGCACCGCTTCCAGCAATCCCACCACCAGCCGTTCGTGTTCAGCATCTTCGCATTCCACCCCCCGCTGGGGCTGCACATGTTTGCAAATAAGGGGACATCACCGGAATCACCGGCCAAGCCACTTCCGCTTGACCCAAATGCAGCAAGCAGCAAACGTGTTTGTACTCAGGTCTCGCCTTGCCCTGCCCAGAAGCTACCGGCGCGGCCTTCACACCCTTAGGTGATGGCCTGCCCCGACCACCCGTACAGTACGGGGCAGCCGCCCATCAAATTCGATATATGATATACCAACTGTTCACATGAACTTATGCAAAAGCAGTATGCAGGTCTGGGCATGGAGTGATTGCCGTATGCAGTGTAGCCCTGCAACGACCTCGATCAATCTGTCTCGCCATTTCAGCGTATTGTTTCCACTGCCAAATGAATCTTCTTTCGGAAGCTGTTCTTTCCAACAGGTGAAGGTTCCCACTAAGGTTCCCCTAGTATCCCTAGTTGTCACTAAAGAGAACATTATATACCGTGTAAGGAATTGTGCAATCAATGGATACTGTGCGATGCAAATTGGAAAGGTGTGTCCAGCACGCGAGATACCAACAGGTTCGCGGAGACTGGCAAAGCGACCACGCACGCTTCTCATAAGTCGCTATGAACCCAGTTGCTGCACATGCTGGATCTGATACCCTACATTTGCCTCTCTGTTCAGGCCCTTGTAGTTCTCAATCGACAGACGGCAGTTTGCAATGAATGGAAAAGGCTCTTGTTCCAGGATTTGCCGGAGAAAAAATAGATTGGAGCCAATTGGAGCCTCTTATTCCAACATCTGCTTGCAGGTGGGGCACAGCACGATCAATGACAGGAATCCCTGAGGGAGTTGACCTGCAGAGGTGACAAATGACCCTTCGGGGCCATCAAACGATGCAAACATGGATGTAGTAATGAAGCTCTCTGGCATGATGTTGCATCCTGGGTGTTCATCAAAAAATTGTACCTACCTTCCTGAAACTGCCATATTGCACACAATCTTTAGGGCTACGCAAGGCGGTAGTCTTTCAGTGCGTTGATCTGCAATCTGTCCTCACCTGGAGTCTGGACTTGTGGCCGCGGTGCAGCCGGAGTTGGATGATGTTGTATCCTGAGAAGTTGAAAGGTTTCGCAAAAAGCTAGTGAGACCAATGTGTGAAAACTAGGGGAACTACTGACTGCTGATCTGAGGATTATGACAAACTCTTAATTGCAGTCAATACGAGTACCCCGAGGCATCTAATCCTATGTTGGCATTTCTTCGAGCTCCCGACATTCAACCAGTCAGGCGCCTGACAAAGCCCAAAATTGTATTCTAGTCGGTTGCTTCAAATGTTCTTCGAGTGTTCTGTGATGGTCACAGGTCGACCTGTCGTGTCTTTTGTCAGTGAAGATAGCTGGAATAGATAACAGGTGGGAAAGTTGCTGGCGAATGAAAGCGTTGCACTGGTGGTGTAAAACTGATTGTCGAAAAAATAAACTAAACAGAACTAGCAACATTTCACAAGCGAGTCCAACAGTGTTGACAAATACAACTATTCTTGAGGATCATGTGTTTCAGTCACACCTCAGATACTTCCAAGATCTTCCAATGACTTTCCAAGATCTTCCAATGATCTTCCAATGCTGCCAAAGGACATCCACGTAGAAGAACGGAAGTCTATTGGCGTTGTCTACCACTTAATGTGCAGTCTCACATGTCATCCGAGTGTGGCCTCGAGGACAGGATTCAGATCACCAATCCAACCCTTGTCTCGATCCTGGCAGATTCAGCGGAGCATGGGCGCATGGGCCTTGTCGGACTAAACTCCTAGTAGCGTCCTTGTTCCTAGTACTTCATAGACCCAACAAACCATCATTCAACTTCATGTTCTTTGCACATGGCCCTTCGGTGCTTGGTGGGGGAGTTAGCTATGCCTATGCTTCATGCCTCAATGTCTGCTCGCAAATAGAACTGCAAAGCAGGTCTGTCCCTCCTCATTGAAAGACAAGCGTCATCTCACTACAGTATCCTAACTGCGGACTGGACAGAGTGGGGGGCTAAGACGATTACTCTACCATGATTAGAAAAAGGGCAACAACTGGACATTCTTTGAGCTACAGTGATGCAACTTCTACACTGCTGCTATCATTTCCCGATCCCTTTTTGGACACAAGATAAGAGATGATAAGAGTGCTTCTAGACAATTGCTCGCTTGTTGTGACCCTCTGATCCAACTGCAACACTAGTCACAAAAATATGCCTTATCGGCACATGCAAAGAGGGAGACAACCTACAGCATCTTTTTCTGTGCCAATACGCGATCAATTTCGACTAGAGCTGCTTGGATGGCTTCTTGCCTCAGATTGGTTCACCCTCTATGTACCCGAAGGATGGCTCGATTTAGCTCGTGTGTTTACTATACATGAGAAGAAGGTGCCGAATTGTGATAGCCGGACCAGGGATACTACGGCTCCAGTACCCTGCTCGTACCTCGCCAGCATGCC